AGCGTTTTACTTTTTTTTGTCATTTTCGGTTGCCTTTTTTTGTAGGCATGCCCAGAAAGGTATATGGATCGTGTCTGCAAAATTTCAGAACATTTTAACGTTATTTTATTTTATTTGTGAAAGACGAAGAACAAAGAAAATCATAAAAAATAAAATATTCATCAAAAAATGGTGCCGCTTGTTGCATTAATTCGTAAAAATCGTATATTAATTTTAGAATGGAAAACATAGGTAAAAATATAAATTTTTGACCAATCCCGGCCCCTAGGCGCCCCACTACGCGGGCCGAGGACTCTTTGATAGCGTTTTACCTTTTTTGTCATTTTTTATTGCCAATTTTTGTAGTCATGCCTAGAAAAATGTAAGGATCGTGTCTGTAAAATTTCTGATCTTTTTATATCTTTTTTATTTTATTTTATTTTTCAATGACAAAAAATAAAGAAAATCATAAAAATAGTATATTCCTAAAAAAAATGGTGCCACTTGTTGCATTAATTCCTAAAAATCGTATATTAATTTTAGAATGCAAAACATAAATAAAAATGTAAATTTTTACCCCGGGGGTGCCCGAGGGTGTCCGGGGGTGCCCCGTGATACAAACCCCGCCAACAAGGTGACGAAACCCGAATCTAAATATGGAATTATGATTTAAGATCTTCAATAATTGATGGAAACCGCGACCCGTTACTTAGCAAAACAAGAACCTTGGTATGGTGAAAACACCACAAACAAGTATGGAAATCCATTTGATAAGTCAAGTTGAACGCCACAAGGAAACCTTGATAAGTTCAGAATAGTTTCTTTAAGAACTCAAGAAGAATATCTCACAATGTGAATAAAAAATCAAAAAATTGTTTTATTAATTGAGTTTCAACCTTAAATAGCCGAAAAAAACATGAAGAGTTTAAAATTGTAAATGTCCTAATCTACCCTTAATGAGGTAGAGCGCCTAAAACAAGATAATTACCTAAAGATAAGATAAAACACGCCTAAAGATAACCCTTAGGGAAGGAATCCGAATTTGAATCTAATTCCTTCCTTAAAAACGCCTATTATGCAATTTAAATGTTTAATCTAAAACTTAAATCTAAAAGATAGAATGATAATGAATTCAAGTCTTCATTCACAATTTTGACTTAATCCTTTGCTGGAAATTACGCCTAGGCCTCTTGGTCTTGCCCTTGCACGTGTATCTTGGAATGTCACGTGAATTTGGCCATGCAATGGCTTAATAGCCGTGTATGTCTGAATGGCTCTCTTTCGGATCAACTTTAATGAATAAACCTAGCCTTTGTTCACCCTCATTAGTGAACACTCTCTCCTCTTGTTGTAGAACTCTCCGGACTAGGTTATTTAATTATTCTTTAAATCTTTTAGGTCGATACCTCGTGACCGAACCAACTCGAACATGAATTGGATCCAAATTATTCATTGTATCTCCGATGTCCTCATCACCCCGGGGGTGTCCCGGGGTGCCTCGCGGGAGCCCACTTTTTGCAGGCATTCCCAAAAAAGTGTAAGAATCGTGTCTGCAAAATTTCAGAACAGTTTGACATCATTTTTATTTTATTTTATTTTTCAAACACAAAAAATCAAGAAAATCATAAAAAATAGAATATCAATCAAAAAGTAATACCGCTTGTTGTATTAATTCCAAAAAATCATATATTAATTTTAGAATGGAAAACATAAATAAAAATGTAAATTTTTGACCCATCACGGCCCCTGTGCGCCCCACTACGTGGGCCGGGGGCTTTTTGACAGCGTTTTATTTTTTTTTTTGTCATTTTTGGTTGCCATTTTTTGTAGGCATCCCTAGAAAAATGTAAGGATCGTGTCTACAAAATTTCAGAATATTTTTACATCATTATTATTTTATTTTATTCTTCAAAGACGAAAAATAAAGAAAATCATAAAAAATAGAATATTCATAAAAAAAAATGGTGCCGCTCGTTGCATTAATTCGTAAAAATAGTATATTAATTTTAGAATGGAAAACATAGATAAAAATGTAAATTTTTGACCCATCCCGGCCCCTGGGCGCCCCACTACGCAGGCCGGGGGCTTTTTGACAGCGTTTTAATTTCTTTTTTGTCATTTTTTATTGCCATTTTTTGTAGGAATGCCTAGAAAAATGTAAGGATCGCGTCTACAAAATTTTAGAACATTTTGACATCATTTTTGTTTTATTTTATTTTTTAAAGATGAAAAATAAAGAAAATCATAAAAAATAGAATATTCATCAAAAAATGGTGCCGCTTGTTGCATTAATTCCTAAAAATCGTATATTAATTTCAGAATGGAAAATATAGATAAAAATGTAAATTTTTTACCAATCCCAGCCCCTGGGCGCCCGACTATGTGGGCCGAGGGCTTTTTGACAGTGTTTTACTTTTTTATCATTTTTGGTTGTCTTTTATTGTAGGCATGCCCAGAAAAATGTAAGGATCATGTCCGCAAAATTTTAGAACACTTTGACATCATTTTTATTTTATTTTATTTTTCAAACATGAAAAATAAAAAAATCATAAAAAATAGAATATTCATCAAACAATGGTGCCGCTTGATGCGTTAATTCCTCAAATTCGTGTGTTAATTTTAGAATGTAAAACATAAACAAAAGTATAAATTTTTGACCCATTCCGACCCCAGGGTGCCCCACTACCTAGGCCGGGGGCTTTTTGACAACGCTTTACTATTTGTGTCAGTTTTTTGGGCCATTTTTTGCATGAAAGCCCAGAAAAATGTAAGGATCGTGCCAGCAAAATTTCATAATTTTTTTGACGTCATTTTTATTTTATTTTATTTTCAAATACGAAAAAGAAGGAAAATCATAGAAAATAGAATATTCATCAAAAAATGGTGTCGCTTGTTGCATTAATTCCTAAAAATCGTATATTAATTTTAGAATGCAAAACATAAATAAAAATGTAAATTTTTGCCCCGGGGGTGCCCTGGGGGTGCCCCGGGGGTGTCCCGCGGGTGTCCCAGGGGTGCCCCAGTGGTGTCCGGAAGAGCCCCGGCGGTGCCCTGGGGATGCCCCGGGGGAGTCCCGGGGTTCCCCAAGGGAGCCCGTTTTTTGCAGGCATGCCCAAAAAAATGTAAGGATCGTGCCTGTAAAATTTCAAAACAGTTTAACATCATTTTTAATTTATTTTTAAAAAATGAAAAATAAAGAAAATCATAAAAAATAGAATATTAATCAAAAAATGGTACCATTTATTGTATTAGTTCCTAAAAATCATATATTAATTTTAGAATGGAAAACATAAATAAAAATGTAAATTTTTTACATATCCCGGCCCCTGGCGCCCTACTACGCGGGCCGGGGACTTTTTGACCGCGTTTTACTTTTTTGTCATTTTTATTTTCCATTTTTTGTAGGCATGCCTAGAAAAATGTAAGGGTCGTGTCTGCAAAATTTCAGAACATTTTGACATCATTTTTATTTTTATTTTATTTTTCAATGACAAAAAATTAAGAAAATCATAAAAAGTAGAATATTCATCAAAAAAATTTGCCGCTTGTTGCATTAATTCCTAAAAATCATATATTAATTTTAGAATGAAAAACATAGATAAAAATGTAAATTTTGACCCATCTGGGCCCCTGGGCGCCCCACTGCGCGGGCCGGGGGCTTTTTGATAGCGTTTTACTTTTTTGTCATTTTTTGTAGGCATGCCTAGAAAAATGTAAAGATCGTGTCTGCAAAATTTCAAAACATTTTGACATCATTTTTATTTTATTTTATTTTTCAAAGACGAAAAATAAAGAAAATCATAAAAAAATAGAATATTGTTAAAAAAGTGGTGTCGTTTGTTGTATTAATTCCTAAAAATCGTATATTAATTTTAGAATGTCAAATTTGAATAAAAATATAAATTTTTTACCCATCCTGGCCCTTGAGCACCCCATTATGCGGCTTGGGGGCATTTTGACAGTGTTTTACTTTTGTTTGTCATTTTCTGGGCCCATTTTTTGTAGCCATGCCTAGAAAGATGTAAGGATCATGTCTGCAAAATTTCAAATCTTTTTGACATCATTTTTATTTCATTTTGTTTTTCAAAGATGAAAAATAAAGAAAATCATAAAAAATAGAATATTCCTTAAAAAATGGTGCCGCTTGATGCAGTAATTCCTAAAAATCGCATATTAATTTTAGAATGCAAAACATAAAGAAAAGTATAAATTTTTTACCCATCCCGGCCCCTAGGCGCCTCACTACCTGGGCCGTGGGCTTTTTGACAGCGTTTTACTTTTTTTGTCAGTTTTTGGTGCCATTTTTTGTTGACAAGCCCAGAAAAATGTAAGGATCGTGTCTGCAAAATTTCATAATCTTTTGACGTCGTTTTTATTTTATTTTATTTTTTAAATATGAAAAATAAAGAAAATCATAAAAAAATAGAATATTCATAAAAAAAAATAGTGCCGCTTGTTGCATTAATTCCTAAAAATAGTATATTAATTTTGAAATGTAAAATATAAATAAAAAGGTAAATTTTTGCCCCGGGGATGTCCCGGGGGTCTCCCGGGGCACCACACCCCCGGGGGTGTCCCGGGGCACCCCGGTGGTGTTTTTTGCTAGAAAGTAAAGATTGCACATCGCCTTTCACACCAAAGTGGCAAATAATCTGATAATATTCTGACCACAAGGAGCAAGTATTATCAGCATTCCGAATAAGGACGGACTTCACTGTTATACTCCTTCGGAAAAGCCATGCTTTTAAGAACAAGGGTTATTAGTATCAAATACAATTGATTTACAATGTTATAATCAGTACCAGACACTTAAAATTGATAGCGCATAGCTTATAAATTAAACCAAATAGAAGCTGATTGGTTCACATAATTTGATACCGAAATTCGCTATAAATGTTGGTGCAATTACTCAACCAGGTTTTCTTTTGATCAAATAAAAGTTTTCAAAATTTCAATATAAAACTTATAAAAACATATAGCATCCGCAGTCCAATGAATATGCATAGGCGAATATGATGACATATCTTCGTAACGTTGTCTTGACGAGAAACCAAACGTTCTTGGTCACAAATATGTAGGTTACACTAATCATTATTGACCTATTCAAGAATTCGGTGCCAAAGCAATTTGAATGACAAGTATATCGTAACCTGTTAACCATATAAACAAACGAAAAATGAATTACTACAGCATCAAGATTTAGTTTACATATTCATCTTCATTGTATGACGTTGAACCCCCCCAAAAATTAAACCCTACTCAAGAGCTTCTGAGAGAATTTTCTTGAACGAAACCTTCTGGTACATGCTCTGCTGCTGGACTATTCATGGGCAACCGAGATCTGTCCGAAAGTACCAAGAAAGTCAGTGGCACTCATTCATACACCGGCTAGTGCTTGCATCGCCAATTGAAACAGTGGCAAGTGACTTGGAAGCCCATGCTTTGGCATTCATTGCTCCTCCCTGCAAGTTGCTCCTCTTGCAAGGCTCCTTTAATGAATTTGACAACTGTACTGCTCGTTTGAGATAGGCCATAGGATGCTCCAACAATGAGCCAAATCTCATGTTTCGGATGTACCTTCTCCATGCACATCGAACAAATAAAAGCAGTGAAGGAAAAATCAGGTGCAGCAATCTCAAAACCACAAATGCGGTGGCTAGCGCCAAATATGTTTCCTGACGAAGCAGGTTCTCTGGAGACCTAGCCCAAGAAAAGGGGCAGCTTTCCTGCTCAGCACTACCATGCTTCTCATGAGTTGGCGGGCTTCCAATATTGTCCAGTGAAATTTGATCAAGTGACGCAGTCTTAATGCCTACATCCAAGAACCATGTTAAATAGATATCACTTTAAAACTAGAATATCACGTAAGAAAAATGATTAATACTAAATTGTTACACACGATAACACGGATCCATAAAGAAAAAGAACCCAACAATTTTGTAGTCACTAGTCAGTAGTTGAGGCCTGAGGGTTTTCTTTCCAGAGTGTCCACCCTTGAGTCTTACCAGTAACATCACCATAGAAAGCAATGAGAGAACCAGGGGTTCGCGAGCCATGATATCGAACACGCATAGTAGAATTCAAAATGAAAAGAGTAGGAAATCCATGAACTCCATACTTTGAGAGAATCCTGCAAAAGTCCAACTTTATTCTCAACAACCAGAAAAGATAGCACTCAGATAACCCAAAGATATATTATGCAAGTAATTTGTGCATATTTCATTTGCAAACCTTGGCCTAATCGCCGATTCTTGAATTGCAAAATGTGGGATGGAAGGATATAGAGAAGACAGGATGGAGAAGGTTGGCCTAAATGTCCTGGAGAAAGGGCACCAAGATGCGTAGAAGAGCACGGCCACATAATCATAACTATTCTTGTGAACCATGTTTAGTGCCCTTTGCAATGAAACCTCATCTCCCTTCAAGTAATCCAAAGGAAATTCCATTATATTATCACACTTGTGCAATACTCAACGTCAACAAAGCATTACTGAGTTTAAATGCTAAACTACGGTTTCTCAATAGCAAGCCATGCTGCCATTTTATTTGCTATGTTACATTGGTCATCATTTAAATCAACTCTTTTCCACTAATAAGGAAAAGAATTTGAAAAACACTTCTTTTGAAGATACGACCAGATAAATGTTGCATTCAAATGCAAAGACAGCACTTTTTCCACCTTACTAGTGTAAAAAACTATCCTTTATAACTAATACATAATAGGCATTACCTAATCCTGCCGTTTGAAAAATCATTCTTGCAATAATCGAGGAAAATAAAAAAAAAAACCTCCATTGGAGCATCGAAATGGGAAATAGATCACAAACCAGTTCATTTTTCCCAAACACAGTTCAATTTTATTACCCAACGAAAAGAAGGAATAACAATTTCGTACATTTCAAACTTCACCCGCAAAAGATTCCCCGAATTCCAAAATTTCAACCCTGCCTCCGAAAGGATATCGTACCACAGACGAAGGAAAACACCAAAACAAAAACCAAGAGATATGAAAGAGAGACGTTGGTACCTCGATAACGCCATTGAAAGCAAAGGATCGAGAATCGCCGTACAAAGAACAAATCCCCTCTGGGAACCCGAAGATCGAGTAGATGAGGGAGTGCGGAGAGCAAATATTGGGTTCAGCGGCGGAGTTTAGGCTCTGCCATAGAAGCAGCGTGAAGATCCCGCTTATCCAAACCCTAACCCCCATTAAGATCCCACGAAGCTCCAAGATTACCCACCCCACCGGCTCTCCCACCGAACCTAACCCTAAAAAGCGAAATCGAAATTGAAATTGAAATTGAAATTGAAATTGGAAAGAAAACCCTAGGGCTAGGATATATCAGAGCAGTGGAGAGGAAAGGAGTGGGAAAGAGAGGGTGGAAGTGATGGTGGGGGTGGTGGTGTTGGGAGGCCGGTTCATTCTAAAGCTTCGAGGTTCTCTTCCTTTGGATTGGAGGAGAGAGAAAAAAGAGAGTGTTTTTGTTTGTCGTGTTTTTTTTATTAAAGGCGCTCCAATCTGATTGGCCACTAAGTATATTATCATTATTATTATTATTATTATTTGCTTTTAAAAAAAAATTATATAAGTAGACATTATTGCTAATTAGAATTTAGAAACGTTCTTTAGGCTAATAAAGATGGAAGTTTTGCTGGAATACTAGAAATGGAGATCCTATACCGATTGTCTTTCCCCTCTTCCCCTTACTGATTTGGGGATGGATTTGGTTATTGATTGAAGTTTGGAATTAGTTTTTAGTCAGAACTCAGACATATATGTTTACAGGTTTTTCTTTTAAGCTAAAAAAATAAAAAATAAAAATAAAAATAAAAAGAATATTCAGCTACTTTTGTTTTCTTTTGGCTATTACCGACAAGGCGACACTATTCTCCTTTTTTTTGCTTGAAAAGGTCCCGACTCCTGAATTGATAATGGGTTATGTATCTCCCAATTTTGGAGAAATTTCAAACAATTTGAATTGTACTGGAAGGTTTCAATGTTTAAAAGGAAGGATATTGACATCCTCAATATATATATATATATATATATATATTTTTTTTTTTCATTTATATTTAGATATTTCATATATATAATATATATTGCTGGGAAAGGATTCATCCACAAAATATATTATCCAGAGATAAATGTTGTCTTCTCTGTTTTGAGGATAAACATGCCAATGGTTTTTCCACTAAAAGCAAATTGAGGTCAAAGTGGAAACCGTGAGGTACTTAAAGCTTCATTGCCATCTTAATTGATTTTCAGGAGATTTTACTGCGGAATATTGGATATAAACAAATAAATGAGCATTTTGAGTGCGAATGTGTAGTTTGTATACTCAAGAAATAAATAAACAAATGAATAAAAAGGAACCCTAGGAGGAGGAGGAGAAAGAAGTAGAGAGAGAGAGCAGGAACAGAAAGGCAAAATTTTGGGTAGCTAGCAGCTTTTAACAAATGATATCCACAAGTCATTCATTTTCATTTTTCAAATTTCCGTGAATGAAAAATAACATCTAATCTTTCAAGATACAGGTTACAACACGCGATGAGTGGTTAAGGAATAATCTACATTTGGCCAAACTAACTCTATTTCAGGCACTGCACAAAATGATTTGTTTGAAATGCTTCAGTAGGGACTAGAGAGCAGAAAAAGGTCAAAAGAACCGCCTACCACCATTTCGATTCCTTCTCCCCGCCGGGAAAAAATGGGTCAACCAAAATAATACAGAACAAAAACGAGAACTACCTAAATCAGTTGTCAGTGATGAAACAATCCTTTGGACCTAAGAGGAGAGAAGGAAAAAGATAGAACGGCGCAATAAGTCACCTTCAAAAAAGAGCGAAATCAGCGTTTTCGCAGATGACCTGAACCATCAACAAATTGCTGCATCTTCAGAACAGCGCCCACTTATATCTGGAAAAGACATCATTTATCAGAATATCAACATCTCAAGGAGCTTGACCATATAAAAAAAATTGAGAAATATAAAAGCACTTTCTTCATAAAGAGAGTCACGATGCCATATTACCTGGCCTTAGATGTTATATTTGGCGAGAAGTTGCGTATGTATAACAATCAAGTCATCATTGGAGGCTTGGTAGACTTGGCACTAATCGGAAGTAGATTGAATTAGCCTGAGAATTTGCCCTGGCAGGTTGCACACATAAGACCCACTGAACCTGATTTTGTTTCAGAGCTAACACCCTGATGATAAAACTCCTTTCTGCACCAGATGCAGATAGTAACAGTCTGATTCTCGGCGGCCACTTTTGGAAACAATGTTAATGATTCATTTGTAAGCCAAAACGAAGGATCAAAGCCTTGTTTGATTTCTGCATGCGACAAGCACTTTGATTCATTTGAATTCAAGGTTCCTTGCGCAGTCAGAAAATCATACTGCGACTGTTTGGTGCTGCCCAATCCCAGCCCTTCAAAACCTGATATGCCTTCGAACCTTTCATTAACATTAAGATCACCATAGGCATCCTGCTCATAAGAATAGAACTGTGAAATAAACCTCTGGACAAATAGAACATACCAGAATCCTGATGGCTTGTATTCTAGTTCTAATCAAAATAATTTATGCGAGATAATGAGAGGGATAACGATGGTCGATGAATATCGACAACTTGCATAAAAGTTATGAGAAAACAATCTAAATTTCCGGGAAAATATATCGAATTATATAAATCTGATAGAAAAGATGGTAACGGCATCTTGCAAAAAATGGTTTTAATGGCAAAACAAATTCTTAAAACACAAATCGTATGCAAAAAAAGGAAAAGAGAAAAAAGATTATGGGACCATATATATCAAAAAGATACCCTTGTATGAGTTTAAACACCAAAACAGGATTTAGTCAACTCATAAAACTCATCTAGCTCCAGAAGATTCTAATTCCATAAATATTAAACACCCTCCAAACCCCCCCTCCTCTTTTTTCTCTTATTCGCTTCAATATTAAGGTTTCATACCTTCTCTGACATTATATTGAAGTTTGCAAAACAGCCAGACAATTGCATTGGAGCAGATGAAGTATCAACTAATCTGCTCGGCTGGAAATTTTGTTCATCAGTTCCCCAGATAAGCTCAGGCGTGAAATCCCCATAAGTTTGTGAATTATTTACAGAACCAGTCATCAGCTCATTGTTCCTAGTCTTGTTCGTATCCTCTTGCTTAGGCTGCTCCCAAAGTGCGTTAGTGGAAGCCCTCTTCATATCATCAGGAACGTGTATTAAACCAATATCAGAACATCTTTTCAGCTTAAGCTCCTCCACTTTTCTTCTATAAATACCAGATAAATTATTTGTGTTAGGAAATGTCTGGCCACTCCTTGAAATAACAGGGGAAGAACCTTCAGAACTGCTACCCTTTATAGTGGTTTTACCAGCATTGGTGTCCGTTCCTGTGTCAATACTGTCAAAAGCATGCAATACCTCATTATTCCAAAAGCTCTTCATCTCCTTGCTTCCGGATTCCTCCAATGAGCTTGAGAATATATCATTCACACTATCTATAAAGTTGCAGCTTTGAGAATAATTAGATTGGCCAAGCACATGAAAATCCAAAGAACCTTCATCCTGTTGAACTTCTTCCATTTGCCTATCGGTCGCCGAACTATCTCTCAAAGCATATTTACTTTCACATGAAGATGAAACATGGGAACCTCCAACATTTCCTACCTGCTCCATGCAAGAGACAGGATTTGCATGCGTTCCAGTGTCCTTGCCACCAAAAGCAACACTAAATTCGCTGCTGCCCTTGCAGATTCTTATATCATCGACTTTGCTCATATCAACTGCAACAAAAGAAGACTTATTCCCATTATCATCATCATCAAATGAAGTAAATACATTGCTTTCAAAACCTCTATCATCCCAGGGTTCCTCCATCTTAAAGTTAGGAATATCTGAATCAATCTCGGTAATGAAATTTTGCTCATTTGAAGGAGGAACACGTAAAGACCTCCCTGAACTTCTATCAAGCTCGGTTCTATTCACAGCCTCTACATCTGATGTAATGCGATTACTGCCGGAACTAATTATCTTCTTATTCATAAATTTGGACTCATACAAAGTGCTAGAAGAAACATTGTTAGCATCATTGCTGACAAGACATGATCTTTCATCAATAGATGAACTACATAAACCAAGTTCAGAACTTCTGTCACGATCAGAGCCCATCATTACGTAAGTCAAAGACCTATTCACATCCTTTACAGGATCACATTCTTCCCCAATCCCACTCCCGCAATGACTAGATGTTGACTCATCATTCCTATCTTCCACTCTCCTAGTAGATTGGTGAGCAGCAGGACTACATATCTTTTCGTCACTACTCGAAGCTGGTAAACCGGTTCCAGGTTCAACGTCTATTTTGAGCTCCTCCACTGATGAGCTACTAGGAGCGCACGTGACCATACTCGTACCATCAGAAAATTGAAAACTATTTCCGTTCTTCTTGTTAGAAGAAGCAATTTCACCAACTTCAATGACCTCATCGAGTTCCCCCAACTCATTTTTATTAGTCATGATGCAAACTTTACCTAGCTTCTCACAAAATTCCTGACAATTTTCATCGTTGCTTCCAATTTTAACTTTCTCTGCATGAGAAAAGAGAACAACTCCACCACTTTCTCCATCTATACGAGTTGCAGTATCTGCTCTCTGCCTGTCTGTACAAGATTCAGAGAGAGTATCAGCTCTTAATTTGCCACGAAGGGAACCAAAACTCACTTCGTCATTAGCTTCCAAACCTGAAGGCTTTTCCTCATTGGCCCCAATTTGACCTTTGTCTAGATTCCTTGTTTCCAAGAGGATGGCCTGCTCTTCATGATCAGTTGACACAAAGGTAATTGGCACTCTTGAGCAGCTTACAGGCACATCGGTATTCTTAGCATCTTCAAAAAAAAGATTTGCATCCTGTTCCATACGTATGAATTTAAAATCATAAAAAATAAAATAAAATAAAATTCTTAGAACAGCTGGAAAGATATTGTATTACTACTTACGTAGGACCCCACTTTATTAGCAATCTGAACATTGCCATCAGCAAGACCAGGATTTGACTGGCCTGCGTCCTGGACTCCACAAGAGGCAAGCAAATAGGAAGAAGCTTCCTTGCATGAGAGAAACTGCTGCCCATTAGGGCTGGATAATACCGGATTAGGGAAATTTGCATAAATTGTAAGAACTAAACTAGCATTAAGGTGGAAAACCAACAACCATCCTATCAACCATACACCTATCACAATTTTAGATTAGGTTATAAACTAGAAAACATGAATAAGAAGCCGAATCATGATATATCTGACAGAAAAACTTATGTTAAAATTTTGAGAGCATTGCTTTATTTGAAATTCCGTACCAAAAAAAGTTGTTTGACATGTCAAAATAATGGTCATTTTCTTGTCTACGATAGTGATTAAGTACAGAGAAAGTAAATTATCAGAAATCACACAACTGTTAGCATTACTTTTAGGAATCTCTTGATTTCTCTTTTCCTACCATCATGAGCTATATTTACCAGTAAAACTTCATACTTTACACCCAGCCCAAACAATGTACACAAAATCAATACAAAATGGAGATAGCAAGAGTTAGGAGAAACCTAAGGTATCGTCTACAAAACAACGACGCATGGCCTTCTCTTCTCTTGAGAGATATCTGTATCTTCCAACCCCTCGGTAGTGTGTCACTGAGCTCGCTCGCTGGCACGATCTTCTTCTTCCTCCTCCAGCTCCCCCATTCCCCCTCCAGCCCTCCCAAGAATCCTAATAGCTCCGCCTCCGTCCTCATCCCTTCCGTCTTCTGCCTCAACTCCGCGCTGAACGGATCCTCCGAATGCCCCAACGCAACCAAATCCACAACACACCCATTCCTGTTCACATTCACTAACTCCTCTTTCTTCTCCACTCTTTCCTTCGCATCATCAAAGAATGTACCGGCCTTATCATCACCCTTTACAACACGAACATAGCGGGTCTCATTCTTACGCGGCCGCCCTCGCTTGCGCTTCACCTGGCCACCGCTGCTGGCTATGTCTGTCGCAGATGAAACCGGTACGGAAACAATTTTGGCCAAAGAATCGTTAGGGACCGCATTGGACGAAACCGGAACGGGAATGCAGCCTGTAACATTACAGCACAAGACCGTATCTCGATTCTTTCTTGGACGCCCTGGCTTCAGTTTCTTGGCATCATCAAAAAACGGCGAATTGAACGAAACTGGAATGGGAACAACGTCTTTTGCCGAATCATACGAGACTGCATTCAACGGAACCGGCACAGAGATAATGTCCATCGCGGAACGATGAAATGCGGCATTGGACGAAATAGGAACCGATACCATACCTGCAACACTTCTCCCTGTCTCCGTAATCGTATTCTTCCGCGGACGACCTCGCTTGTGCTTCACAGAACCGACGGAAAAGGCGGAATTGGACGAAACCGGAGCGGGAGCAACTTCTCCGACGGAACCGTACGAAACCGGCAGAGGATTCTCCCAATTGAGCGTCCCAAGGCCTTCGGTCGCGTTCTTGCGAGGCCGCCCTCGCTTCCGTTTCTCGGGAGCGGAATTCGGGAGGACGACATGGATGGGGACATTCCGCACGGCGACGCTGCTGGAAGGCTCGTGAGCGGCATCATTGTAATGGACGCGAATCGGGACGAGTTCGTCGTTGGTTCCGGAGGAGAAGAGCTGCTTGAGCAGGGCGATGACCTGGAAGCTCTCTTGAGCAAGGGGCTCGGGGGTTTGGCGGGCGGAGGAGGAGGGGAATTGGGAGTTGCGAGGGGCGAGGCGGAGGCGGGAGTAGGTCTGCTTGCGGCTGCCGGCGGATTCGTTGAAGACGGAGCGGTCGATTTTGGGGATCAAGACGTCGTCGTCGCAGCGGCCGAGGGGTTGGGAGGAGGAGGAGAGGGAGAGGGAGAAGAGGTCCGATTGGGAGAGAAGGCGGAGGTCGACGAGGGGGAGGGAGTCCGGGCGGAGGAGGCAGTGGTGGTCGGAGGGGTAGGGGGAGGAGTCCACGCCGGCGGCGGAGGCCATGGCATGGGGCTGAGGGGGAACCGGAGAGAAGAGTGAGATTATTATATTTGTATTATTAAATTAAATTGATATCTGACTTGGGTTCGAGATTGGTTTCGAGAGCGGAAACCAAGTGGGGCGGAGTGGTCTGATTGGTGGTGTTCCCTTATTTGTCCTTGACAGTATGCAGATTGGGAGAGATTAACTCGAGAGTCGTTGACAATTTGGTACCTTTAGCCCAGCCCATTTTGACTAGGCTATCCTCCCCATTTTTTAACTTTTCAAATGGGTTGGGTTGTTCTGACGCGGACCAACTAGAAAGCCCACTCTTGTCATTTTTTGGATGAAAAAATAAAAAACTTTATTCACAAGCTGGACTTTTAACCTTTATTTTTAATAATATCTTTTTATTAGTATAATTATTTAATTAAAAATATTATGAATCAAGAATAAAAGATAAAAATATTGACTCATGTACTTTTAAAGAGTATTTATTAAGAATTATTGGATTATTCAAGAAATAAGAAAAAGGGATTTCAAAGTGAATGCCCGTTTTTATGCAAGCAAATGAGCAAAGCTTTGTTAAATTAGGAAATTTGTTGTTTTTACGATTAGTGATAAACCAGTAAAAAAATCAAACGATAAACTGATATATTAGTGATAAACCATTTGTACATCTTTAACTAAGCGCTAAGAGAAAGGCTAATTTACTTAAGAGTGAATTCGATAGGGGAGAAAGATAGAGGGAGAGAGCGGTGGGTGGGGTGAGCCCTCAATCCATTGTTTGCTTGGCAGGAAAATATGATAGAATTATTAGGTGCGTTTGAAATTGATTCTAAAATGATTTTATTTTTTGTATGAAAATGAAAATGAAAACGTTTTCATTTTTATTTTTAAATTATTTTTAAAAATGCGTTTGGAAGTTTTATTCAAAGATTAATTTTAGTTTTAAAAAAAAACTAAAACTGCGTTTGATGGTTTAATTTTTAAAAACATGTAATAATATTTAAAATAATAATATATTAAATAATTAAAGCCCCTGAGTACTTAAAATCAGCTACCAATCACTACTTGGTATTTACTCCACAAGTCCAAAAAAAAAAAAAAAACCAATATACTAATTACTAATGCCCAAGCAGCCCAACATCTCAATTCCATAAGTTTTACGTTAATGATCAAGAAAAGAAAGAAGCAAAAATAAAATATAAACAATAAATAAAAAGGCCACTTTCTGCTCCAACAGACGTTTCAACTTCACGTCCTTCTCTTTTCAACAACACAGTACGCACAGGAAGAGGGGGGGTGGGCAGTCGGAGAAGATGGTGGC